ATTAATGCAGTTTCTTCGTCCCGTTGGGACATAAGATACGCTTCCTTACCGTTGGTACGACCCAGGTGCATCCTCTTACACTTCATGACACCGAATCTTCGTAGCCATTTCTTCGACCATTCTTGAAACTCACAGAGATCCTTCTGCAGCTAATCACAGTCTGTTTGGTTTTAATTTCCTCAATAACTTGGCATCGTCCTGCTCATCGTTTGTCCTAACCTACGTCTCGAATTTCTGAATTTTCTTCTTAACTTGTCGACCGCCGCTATGGTTCACGTACAGCGGTCTCCTTGTATTCCTGGAGGCACTGGGTTTAGTCTTGGGTATATATTTATTGATCAAATGGTTCACTTTACTGGCTATGATATTAAATAAGAACATAAGAAAATAAGGAGTCTGCAATAGGCCGGTTGGCCTGTGCATGGCAGCTCCTGTCGAGAGTTACTACCACTCTCTACCATCCATGAATCTATCCAGACTCCCTTTGAAACTTTCCAGCGTTCCAGCACTTACTACAAGGTTGCTAAGCTTGTTCCACTCGTCCACCACCCTATTTGCAAGCCAGTTCCTTCCTATCTCCTTCCTAAACCTAAACTTATCCAACTTGAATCCGTTGTTCCGAGTCCTATCATGCTCGGATATTATAAGAACTTTATCTATATCACCTTTATTGATTCCTTTCACCCACTTGAATACTTCTATCATATCTCCCCGCACTCTTCGTCTTTCTAGGGAATGCAAGTTTAGTTTCTTTAACCTATCCTGATATGGAAGGTTTCTAAGTCCCGGAATCATTTTCGTCATTCTTCACTGCACCGACTCTGGTGAATTGATATCCATTCTATAATAAGGGCACCAGAACTGAACCGCATAATCGAGGTGCGGCCTGACTAGGCAAGATATAGTTGCAATAAGACCTCTGCACTCTTATTACTTACACTTCTAGATATAAAACCCAATACTCTGTTTGCCTTATTTCGAACATTAACGCACTGTTTTCTAGGCCGTAGGTCCGGGCTTACAAGCACCCCTAGGTCTCTTTCACAAGTCGACTTCTCTAGGTTGATGTTGTTAAGGCTGTATACATTGACAGTATTTGTTCTTCCAATATTAAGTACTCTGCACTTGCTGGTATTGAATTTCATTTGCCATTTTTCAGACCACCCCTGCAGTATATTTAGATCCTCCTGTAATGCATTTGCATCCTGCCCTGAATTAATCTGCCGCCCTATTTTGGTGTCATCCGCAAACTTGCTTATGTCACTGCTGATCCCAGTATCTAGATCATTTATGTAGATTATGAACAAGAGTGGGCCTAGTACTGACCCCTGGGGAACTCCACTGGTTACACGACCCCACTCAGATTTAACACCATCTACGCTGACCCTCTGCGTTCTATCGGTGAGCCATGATTTTATCCAATTTAAAACTTTCCCCTCGATACCATGAGCCTTATTTTTTCTCAGAAGCCTCTGATGCGGTACTCTGTCAAATGATTTGCTAAAGTCTAAGTAAATAACATCGTAATTTTCGTCATTATCTACTACCTCGAAGACTTTCCTAAAAAATGTCAGCAGATTTGTTAGACAAGATTTGCCCCTCATCTCCCCCATCCCATCACAGTTACCCTTGTAGTATTTGAACCTTGGCCTGGTTTTGTCATGAACCAAGTAACAGTTAAAACTGAAGGATAATGTTACGTGGTGGCTGGTAACAACGAGAGCTACAGTAGATGTTCCAGCTTGGCCACCATACCCTCCTCGTTTGTTGTGATGAGGCTTAGTGCCTTGGGTGTTTGCTCCCCTCTGTAGTGAGTCGGATCTTTGTTATGTTGGAACAGAAAATTGTCTTTCAGAGTTTCTAATATATGCTGACAGTTTGTACTGTATATATTATAATATAAATGTAAAAAACTAATTAAATATATAAATAAACAAATAACGAAGTGATAACCGTGGTAACATTCTGATATGTTCTTATTACTACCATGCTATTGTACTATTCCAGATGATACTAAATGTTTCATAATACTTCCTTGAGATAAATGTATAGTATATATCAGGTGCCTACAAGAGAGCTCAGGTTCTCAACTGGCTCAGCCATGTTAATATTGTTATTATTATCCACTCTGTATTTGTATTTTCTGGCTTAATAAACTGTTTTAATATCAATATTAGTGGTGAGTTATAACAGTATATAATATATGCTGACAGTGTTTGCTGTACTGTGGTGAGTTATAACAGTATATAATATATGCTGACAGTGTTTGCTGTACTGTGGTGAGTTATAACAGTATATAATATATGCTGACAGTGTTTGCTGTACTGTGGTGAGTTATAACAGTATATAATATATGCTGACAGTGTTTGCTGTACTGTGGTGAGTTATAACAGTATATAATATATGCTGACAGTGTTTGCTGTACTGTGGTGAGTTATAACAGTATATAATATATGCTGACAGTGTTTGCTGTACTGTGGTGAGTTATAACAGTATATAATATATGCTGACAGTGTTTGCTGTACTGTGGTGAGTTATAACAGTATATAATATATGCTGACAGTGTTTGCTGTACTGTGGTGAGTTATAACAGTATATAATATATGCTGACAGTGTTTGCTGTACTGTGGTGAGTTATAACAGTATATAATATATGCTGACAGCGTTTGCTGTACTGTGGTGAGTTATAACAGTATATAATATATGCTGACAGTGTTTGCTGTACTGTGGTGAGTTATAACAGTATATAATATATGCTGACAGTGTTTGCTGTACTGTGGTGAGTTATAACAGTATATAATATATGCTGACAGTGTTTGCTGTACTGTGGTGAGTTAGAACAGTATATAATATATGCTGACAGTGTTTGCTGTACTGTGGTGAGTTATAACAGTATATAATATATGCTGACAGTGTTTGCTGTACTGTGGTGAGTTATAACAGTATATAATATATGCTGACAGTGTTTGCTGTACTGTGGTGAGTTATAACAGTATATAATATATGCTGACAGTGTTTGCTGTACTGTGGTGAGTTATAACAGTATATAATATATGCTGACAGTGTTTGCTGTACTGTGGTGAGTTATAACAGTATATAATATATGCTGACAGTGTTTGCTGTACTGTGGTGAGTTATAACAGTATATAATATATGCTGACAGTGTTTGCTGTACTGTGGTGAGTTATAACGGTATATAATATATGCTGACAGCGTTTGCTGTACTGTGGTGAGTTATAACAGTATATAATATATGCTGACAGCGTTTGCTGTACTGTGGTGAGTTATAACAGTTATAACAGTATATAATATATGCTGACAGTGTTTGCTGTACTGTGGTGAGTTATAACAGTATATAATATATGCTGACAGTGTTTGCTGTACTGTGGTGAGTTATAACAGTATATAATATATGTTGACAGCGTTTGCTGTACTGTGGTGAGTTATAACAGTATAAAATATATGCTGACAGCGTTTGCTGTACTGTGGTGAGTTATAACAGTATATAATATATGCTGACAGTGTTTGCTGTACTGTGGTGAGTTATAACAGTATATAATATATGCTGACAGTTTTCACTATACTGTGGTGAGTTAAAACACTAATTATGCTAAGCTGAGATTAATTAATTTCTCCGACAGGATAAGCGAGGCTACGGCCTTCATGGCGGCCTCAGCCACTCCATACTACAGCAGATAGCTTCACATTCTGGTGGTGGCGACAGTCTCGGAAGTCTCCAGCTGTTACTGGGTGGCCACCAGGCGGCACATCAAAGGGGCCACTCAGCTGCCGACCTGGCTAGCCGGGCCGCGGGCCAGGCGACAGCTGCAGCAGAGTCACAAGCGGAAGCAGCCTACAAGGCAGCACAGGAAGCATCGCGGAAAGTGGCAGCGAAGGCGTCGAGTGCAGCACAACAAGCTCAGGCAGCAGCAGCAGCCAAATACTCCCAAGCAGCACAGCTCACCCAGGCTGCTCAACTAGCGCAAGCAATCGTCTTCAAGGAAGCTGCCCAGGCTGCTCAAACTAAACGCACTGTAAAAGCAGCTGAATCGATTCAGCTATTGGCGCTGTCACAAATAGCTATCCTGCAGCAGGCACTAGGGGCGGCCGAGGCTCAGGCAGCAGTGGCGCAGCAGGTGTTGACCTCCGCCACTGAGGCTTACTATCAGCAGAGTACCACACTCAGCCAGGCACAAGCCGTATCTAATAAAATTTTGCAAAAACAGAATATTGCTGTATCACAGCTAGCGAGAACCCAGGGTGCGGCCCAGCAGGCACAGGCCGCCGCCACCAAGGCTTTATATAAGGCTCACCCGGCTCGTGGCCAGTCACCTCTCTACACCAAACACTGACTGCCACAATGTTGATAGCACGCACACTCTCACACAACAGTAACATAACTCGCAGCTGGTTGAAAACCATGACAACTTCAAGTGATGGCAGAGAGAGTTCTTTTACTCAAGGATGAAATATATTCCTTCGTAACACATGATGACCTTCACCGTACACACACTTTACTCTTACTGTTAATACTAATGAAAGGACCATTGTAAAAACCTGCCACCCCAGCCTCACCTATGATCACTGCTACTACACAACACCACCACTACGTCACAACACCACCACTACAGCTCGACACATCTTCATCATTTTAAAACAGGTACTTCACCACTTACTGTATCCATGACAACAAAAAGAGTTGCAAGTCAGATTATAAGCAGAGAGGCATCATATCAGACGAACCGTATCTTCAATGAATAAGTTCTGAATCAACGACAACTAGTGGATTAAGAATATATCAATGCAGTTCAAGGAGCGTCAGGTTTATTTATAGCAAATCAAACTATTTAAATTCATATATATATATTATAGACTATATATAGATGCAACTGTGGAAGCTGTTGGTCGATATTTGGGTTCAAATTTCGGCCGAGTTCAACGCCATTGTGATTTAAGTGGCCGCAAGGTGAAGCGTCAGACTCGGGGTCTAATCAACACAAGTTTACAATGCAACGTTTGCTCAATGAAGAAAGCTGCCAATAACAATAGGATTTCCAACTGCATTCCTGAAATATAATGAAGATAATGTTCTTAGTACATGTATATTGGCTACAGTATACCATGCTAGTCAATTGTCGCATTGTGAATGTCGAGTTTTGCCAGAAGCCCAGATGCCAAGAGTCGCCACAGCTACCACATGCCACTCCTGTATATAATTCCATTATTTAATAAATAACTTATGTTTCTTGAAGTCTAGTTTGTTTTTCCACGACACAATCACTTAACGTACACCTAACCTCATCTTACCTAACATACTATTTACTATTTTGAGCAAATTTTACTATATAATAATTATTTCCAATTAAAAGTTATATATATATATATATATATATATATATATATATATACTGTATATATATATATATATATATATATATATATATATATATATATATATATATATATATATATATATATATCTTGATAAAAACTCTGTCATTGGAAAATGGAAACAACGGAGACCTTAGCTTTCTGCCTTATTCAAGACATCTTCAGAGCAGAGTTGCCAACTTAGCGACTTTGTAGCTAGATCTAGAGCTTTTTGTTTTTTTCTAGCGACATTTTAGAGCGATTTGCGACTTGTCGCAAATCTAAAGATATCCACAGAAATCTAGCGACTTTCTGGATACTTTTGGACCGTCTATGAAAACTCAGTTTTCCTAATTTCGAGCCATAATATATAGCAACGGGGTTACAGGGACAATACATTTGAACGGGTTGAACTCATAAAACAACTTGGTCAACGCTTACCTGACAACATTCGTGTGCTGCAGTCTATTTCATTTCTGAGTGCCGATGAATGCTTGAAGCCTATTAAATCAGATATACTTGGTTTGGCACACTTATTTACAAAAGATTCCAGCACCCTTACCAAGATTGATTTCCAGTGGAAAAAACTGCATCACACAATCTGGACAGAAACATCTAACACCCTAAAATTGTGGTCAGAAGTGGCAAATTACCGAGATGCGACAGGTGAAAACCCTTACCATGATCTGGCTGAAATTGCACTCGCTGCCTTATCTCTTCCGCATTCAAACGCAGATGTAGAGCGCACATTTAGTAATATGAACTTTGTGAAATCAAAATTGCGCAACAAAATGAAACTATCGACATTAAAGGCAATTCTTACAATAAAGTATGGGTTAAAAAGACAGAACACCTGTTGTGCAAGTTATGAACTTCCTAGTGATATTTTAAGAAAGATAGGGACTGTGGAGGCACACAGTTACAAGAGAACCTGAACCAAGCACTTCACATGCTTCCAGCTCTACAGTTGTTCACACTACGAAGAGGACTGGGATGCAATTACTATTGAATAATAGGTAAGTGTGCACATTAAACTTTAAAAAAAATAATATTTTTATTTTTACACAATGCATTTTATTTATACTCCGTCCATTATAGTCGGCATTATGAAAATATTATTTGCATCAAATTACTGAAAGGGGGGTGTAGTGGACCTCTCCCCTACAAACTGCGTATCGCATTCCAATGTGCCGCCTTCCCTAGCAACCAACCAGATGTTACCGTATCTTAGCAACGAAACTATTCACCGGCGACTTCTCGGGTTTTCCCACCATGACTCATAGCGGCTGCTGCGGGGTATATAAGCTCTGTCTCTCCCTTGAGATTCAGTCTGACCAATCTTCTTGAACAAGCAACACCTCCTCCTCCGCCGCTGCCTGGCGACCCTCGCCTCTCCTCCGCCTGCCTGGCGGTCCTCGCTCCCGCCAGCGAGCATGTCCTTCTCTGAGCTTCCTCACCAACCAACTCTCATTCTGCCCATTTTCCTGAACAAGCAACATCTCCTCCAGCAAGCTCCACGCTGTTAACATTTCATTCAACCAGGAGGCCAGCAACAGGCAACATCTCTAACGAAGCTCCTGCACATCTACCTCCTTCAACACGATACTCACCGAACGTCTTCTACTGAGCTGCTCCCCACCACACGGCATCTCCAGCACCAGACTGTCTATCATATAACTTATATATATTATATAAGAAAACCACATTAGAGTTTCCTTCCATCCTGAGTGCTAGACAACATTAATATCTCGATACCCACTAATAGCTAATAGATTTCCATGGATATATATTCATATATATATATATATTGATATATATATTCATATATATATATATATATATATAATATATATATTGTAGATCCACAATGAAAACGTGGATAAGATGGGTAAGGGGAAACAACGGAGCACCTTAGCTTTCGTCTTTATTCAAGACATCTTCAGAGGCAACTGGATTACATGGACAGAAGAGGTTAAATATACAGGGTGACCTTATTAAACATGAGGTCAGGTCATAAATGTATGTCTATCCACTAATCAGGTCATAATGATGTCATCCACAATCCCCACACCAACACACACGTAGAGGAGCTTAAGAGAAAGGGGTGACGTGACTAGTCAGGTCAGGTCAAAAATAAGGGACCACTAAATAACTATAATACATCTAGATCAAAGGTTTTCAAAGCATTTTTAACCTTGGGCCACTGACAAATAAATTTATGTAACATATTATCAGTTTTGAACTGACCATCACTAATGTTTATTGATTTTAATTCCTTAATCAAACTAGCTTCAACCAGAAGTCTTTCTGTGACACAAGATGATTTGAATACTTCTAAGCTTTTTTCCCAAGCAATGGGATGATTATTATTCCTAACATGAACGAACAGGGCACTGCTTTCAGATGCTGTTCTGATATTGTACTTATGTTGTTTGATTCTGAGCTGCAGTGTTTTTCCTGTCTGTCCTACATAATTACAATTACATTTGCTACATGGAATACAACAAACACTTCCATTTACATTCAAACTCGGGCTATTTCTTATTAACATATTGGTAATGGTTGAGTCATACTTGAAAACAACATTAATATTTAGTAGCTTGAGGGACCGAACTAACGGGACAAATTCATTACGATAGGGCAGAGTCAAAATATTCTTAAGTGTAGGAATTTGCCTGGTTTGAGAGGAATGAAAGGATTTTTTAGCCCTTTTAAAATAACGATCAACAAACACAGAAGGGTACCCAAGTTTTTGTGCAATGGAACGAATGTGTTTCAATTCATCATAAATACATTCAGAGTCACAAATGCGCAGACATCTTAAGAACATAGCAGAAAAAACTGACATTTTGGTAGACTCCAGGTGATTCGAACAACCAAGACACACAAGACAATGGTTACGTAGTTCCTCCACCATGGAGCCCTCCACCAGCCACATTCAAAATTACCGACCAAGGTGATAGCAAAGCCAACCTCCAGAAGGAGGACCTCAAAAAAATAACTCTGGAAGCCATAGCCACCGGCTGATGCAGCATCATACTTCACAGACGGCTCGGTGGATCCAAAACATCATACATCCGGAGCGGCCTTCTACACCCAAGGTCAGACCCTCCGATGGAGACTTTCTAATGACTGCTCCACCCTACAAACAGAGCTGGTAGCAATCTCAAAGGCCCTACAACACGCTGCAACACAACACAACAAGTCCATCATAATTCACATGGACTCGAAATCGGCCATGCAGGCGCTGCAACACAGTCAACCAAGAGACAACGTCCACATCATAACCTCGATCCTCGCACAGCTACAGGAATTCCAAAGACAAAACCGCCCAGTCGTCTTACACTGGATTCCCAGTCATGTAGGGATCGGAGGAAACTACGTGGCTGACGAAGCAGCCAAGGCAGCCACACGTTCTAGTAGCATACACATTCAAGTTCCAGCAAGTGTGCAACAGATCAAGAATCACCTCAGAAATACTAGCAAGCTCCACATCCAAAAGAGCTTCCTTCACGCATTCAACGCTGGTTCCCAATCAGCCAAATGGTACCTGGTGGCCACAAAAGGGGAACCACCATTCGCAGACAAGAAAACACCAAGACAAACCCAAGTTAGCCTTCATCGACTACGACTAGGGTACAAGTGCTCCTGGCACTATCTCCTCGACTGCGAAGTCACATAAAGCCTCCGAAACAGAACTCAAATCTCCCAAGAAGCACACACAACACCAGCGGCCACTCTAACCCGAAAGGCCCAAACAAACCACATTCACCACCTTCTCCGGGTCATCACACGATACCCACCACCCAGATAGGTTAGAAAGTATCTTCTCCCAGCAAGTGGGGACCCCAGTTCTGGGGGCGCGCCACTCCGAGACTGACCACGTCCAAGAGTGGGGGTTGGTGGTAAGCGTCCACTGATCAGGGGTCCGCTCACACTTGCAACCTGCAGTATCCTTCCATATCTGCAGGTAGGACAACCTACAATCGCAATCCGGTCTGGCTGCTCCAGGAGCTCCAGCCGGAACCACCGAACGGGCCGCCTATAGGCAAAGGCCCGTGTCGGACTACGGTCCAACAATCTCAACAACACAACAACAACAACTGTAAATGTAATCCAGTTAGTTGCCTCTGAAGATGTCTTGAATAAAGACGAAAGCTAAGGTGCTCCGTTGTTTCCCTTTTCCCGTGTGATTTTATCAAGATATATATATATATATATATATATATATATATATATATATATATATATATATATATATATATATATATATATATATATATATATATATATATATATATATATATATATATATATATATATATATATATATGTTGCGTTGACAATCCTCTTTATCTCGAAATTCCGAAACCGAAAGTTTTTTAGATCATTTTTTTTTTAACAGGGATTAGCCCACCCAGGCATAGATCACTGACCCACATCGGGGCCTGAGGGGCCAAAATGTAACACCCTGTAGTAATATTAATTATAATAATTATAACAATAATAATGATTCAAAGTAAATAAAATTTTTACCAGTACGTAATTAAAAAATACACCAAAATAAAATAATATTGAGAACAATAATAATAATAATAAAATATAATAATAAAATTTATAATAATAATAATAACAATAATACTGTATATTAATAAAATAATAATAATAATAATAATAATAATAATAAAAATAATAATAAAGAAATACAAGAATGAAAAAAGAATGAGAAACACGACCTAGACCTATGAATTATTATTATTATAATTATTATTATATTTTCGCCCCCCAGGCCCCAATGTGGGTCAGTGACGTGTGCCAGGGTGGCTATAAAAAAAAAAACATTCTGAAAACTGAAAATTAAAACTGAATGCCTCTTGGCCC